CTTAAGGTCGAAGAAGCAACTCAGACAATATGCCCAACATTATTGGACCTGTGCCAGCGTCTGAACTTCGACAGGAGATAACTCAAGTCTAGAGCAGAGTTTTTACATTTTTACATATACTTTCCCCCCTCCACCCACACGTAATTGTTGGCCTTTCCCGGGATCTTCGGCCAGTTGGTTGAGCCAATGGTAGCTGCATTGCCTTCCTTTCTAAGACCATTCGCAAAACCTGCCTATAGCAACGCAGCTGTGACTTTTTATCCTGAAGAAGCAGAGGTTATATGCCAAGAAGGATATCTGAACTCCTTCAATCTGTCCAGATTCGTGAGGCCAGCAGTTCGTCTGGAACGATGCATTCTTTCCGCATAAGTCAGGTTGTGCTTGAAGGCAGTACCGAAAATTGCCACTATCTGAACTCGACTCCAGAATATCTGGGACAAACTTTACTAAATAGTCACTTGTTTCCCATTACGTATGCTGTACAATTTCAATAAAGTTACGAATCGCGTCCCTACGAACTCGCCTTGAATATGAGCATCATACGATAAAGGAATAAATAAATTACCGAATAAACAAATAAATAACTGCTGTCATTTAATGAGTAAATAAACGAATAATAATGTGGCTAACTAAATATCATGGTAGGCTAGCATTAATTGCTGGAAGATGATGCCAGGGAAGAAGTTATAGCGACAGCGTCATCAATTTCTATTTCTTCCGATTCCAGCGTTCGCAAGCATTGCTCGTAGAAGGCACTAGGTCGTCGATACATGTTTTCATAGTTCAGGAACAGGTGCTTGCTTCTTCATGTTAATATCAAGCTTTGACTGGACAGTTTGTTTATTTTCTTTATTGTAAACTTCTTTGTAGCAAGCAAGAACATATTGCATTTGTCTTGCAGATTTTGCTGATATCTCATAATTATGATTATATCATCACCGTATGATAGGTTGCTGAACAATGTACGAGACGTTTAAGCTCGCGACTGTTACAGAAAGTGAGGGCCATCGTAAAGTCGAAACATCGTTAAGTCTAAACTTCGTAAAGCGAGGAGCATCTGTAATAAAAATGCAAGGAAACTATAAGAGCATTTTTCAAATCAGTTACTCAACGGTTGGATACGAAATTCCGATGTCTATTTTGATGGCATGAGCAGTCCTGCTTAGTGCCGAGGCAAGCAGATGCCGTGACTTCTGTAAAGTGTTCAAAGGGCTACAGATTGGCTGAATAGAAAAGCTCATAGATAAATGGATAGATAGACCTCAGGACTGACGGGACCAACATGCCTTAAAAAACAGTCAGCCGATAAGCAATGACAGAGGCACACAACAGCCCTGTGTTTCGAAACCGGTGCGTCCTCGTTAGCACGAAACTGCTGCGCAGTATTCCGCTGATACATGCGTTCTGGGACCATTTTTGTTTATGAGTTGTCTAAACATTTTTCTACCATTTGATTGCTAATTTTTTGCTGCTGCACACAGAGAGGCAGGAAACTAAATATTACAGAAAATCGTCATGTAGTTCAGAAATAGAGAATGATTTCAGGCCGGCGTATGGGAGAGATACTGCGAACACAGCCAGTAAAATGATATGATCCCGCTAGCTTCCGTATGTAGACAATTGCCGATGGCGTCATCCTCTGTATTAAACATAACATGTTCTATAATATACCCCGTCCCCAATGTGCGTCATGATATAATTCATTTCTGGGCTGTGCAATAATTTCCATTAAGATTTGGTTGCCTACCCTTTGTGTATTGCAGCTGAAACAACCAAGATTAATTTCTCTCTTTCACGATTTGTAATTGAATCGTTTAGCTACAGCAATGCTATTATACAGGGGTACAGAGTTGTGCTGTACATAAATGAGTCCGGTTTGGCTTGGTTCCGTGTCAAGTTGTTTAGCCTTCTTGTTCCTCTACATATGAAATCATATGTGGATGTATATTTCGTACAACCACGGAAGATCGGTGGCAGAACGGTAAGCATGTGAGTGCCCTCTTGTCAATCCGACTTCTAGCGGAAGACTGTGCGCTAGTGGTAACAGGACCTTTGGGGAAAGAGGTACTGGCACATGATGAGGGGTGGCAAACCGCAACATGATTGTTGTGCCCTAGTTCACCGAGTAGCTCGTCCGAGCGGGCCACGTCTAACAGAACCGTTAAGCAAAGTGTGACTGAGGCGGAGCGAAGGGCAAACGGATGCCTTGCCAAGACATCCAGCAAACGTGAACTGTAACCAGAACCTCCTGCATGATCAGACGAAGAGGAAAAGCGAAGGTTATTCAAGCAGCAACGAACAAAAGTCGATCAAAGAACCATGGAATGAAAAGAATGGTTCAGCAGCAGCGTGGACAATGGTTGTTCGGTTGATCGTGGACCCTTCAGAAGACTAGCCCAGCAAACCGCTGCCTGAGCATCATCGATCAGCGTTTGTAATGAACTTGTAAACACGAAGGGACCTGCCGCATTGGTTGCTGCTGCAGCAGCTGGCCGCCCGCCCGCCCGACCGACCGACCGGGTGCTGGCTCTCGGTGGTGCGGTGTTTTCGCGGTCGTGTCAGCGATGATTGATGGGCGAACGTTGAGACGACGAGAGGTAAAGAGTGGGGAGGAAGGGCTCGGCTTCGAGCGCTCACATACATCAAACGAAAGCGTTTGGCGAATGGCAGCAACAGCAGAGGCTAGGAAGATGATGAGGATCATCGGCGGCGCGACTGCGGCGGCTGGGGATGAGGAATTCCTGGGCGACGGGAATTCTTTGCGTGAATGATTAAGTGACTGCGGCGGCACTTGCCACAACGAAATGAATGCGTCTATCAAGCGCTATGAATAGCTGGTTCTCCACTTGACACAACTATCAATCACCTGTCATCGGCAAATCTCAGCGCTTTATCATTTTACCTCTGTTCATTGGCAGCGCAACAACTAATTTTGATAGATCTGTTTTTCCTAGCCGCTTCGCTCATCGGC